TTACCTTTTGGTTCCATCCAAGTGGAAAATTGTTTGTTCTGATTGTACATGCCAATGGACTACCAAATTTACCAACCGCACTTGGTTTTAAGCTAGCCTGGCAATTACGGATGTGGAAAAAAATAGTGGGTCATTTTTTCTCTTCATTTCTGCATTTTGGTTTTGGAACGGTGCCGCTTTTTTCTCATTTTTATTTTTGTGTGTGCGGTTGGCTGAAGGGTGTTTTCTCTGATCAACTTTATATATGAAAATTAATGTATTTGATTTATACAATATAACACTTTCTTTAGAAGTTTGATTTCTATAGCAATGGAGCAGAGACCGTGGCAGGTTTTGTGAATTGTACAGAAGATCTAGCGAGTTTCATCTGTGACTATTACTACTACTGACAAACAAAAAGAAATAAAAATATATTTGCATATATACAGAGACACCAAAGAAAAAATTATTTTTTATGTTTGAGCTTGTTTCCCGCGGCATTGACTGAAACACATTAAAAAGAGTAGAATTGAAATGAAAAACACAAGATCCCTTTGACATCTAAGGCTTTATCTTTTTACATGCCTTCCAAATTCTCTCTCAGATCACTTGTAGCAGTGAGACAAAACAACATATTATAATTGCCCTTCATCATTTTCCCACTTTCTTTCCAGCCAAGAGATCATACACTACAGCTTTAGAGAATGGAATCATTATTATTTCAAAACTTAAGAGAGAAAGAATTACTACTCGTAATAAAAATTACAGTATAAAAGCAGCTAACCCCATTTCCTTGGAGCTGGGTTTTCAGCCAGAGAGAACTTGAAGATATCAAAATGAGATTGCACGCACACACTCTAATACATGGTCTTGTCTATTTAAGCTAAACAGATAAAACATCATCCCTAAAACCTTAAATATTCACAAGACAGCATTGCTTTAAAAATCGGGTCAGCAGGCAACCCGCTCTGATGGTTGGGTCACGGTTCAACCGGTCCAACCGATTAGACTGTCGGTTGGACTGGTGATGTTATCACACATCATGATGACGTCAGCACATTTTTTAAAAAAACTTTTTTTTTTTTTTAAGATTTTTATTTTTTAATAAGACAATAACAACTTAATTACTGTCTAATCTAACATGATTCAAAGTTCAAATTCAACAATAATTCTAACATAATTTAAGTATTTAACAACAATTCAAAGTCTAAATCCAAACATGATGTTGTATTTACATATTAAATGTCAAAATACATACTAATTAGTAACAAAACATTTGATGCAAGTGTTTTTTCTTTGATTCGTCTCCATGTTGATTGAGCTTCACACACTAGCATCAAAATTCATCATCATCATCATCATCATCATCATCATCATCATAACCATCACCACCATCTATGCAAATTTAAGTAAAAAATAGAAATCATAAGTTAAAACTTGTAATTTAATTTAAATAGATACTAAGTTGTATAAATAATTGAAACCAACTTTTTGAACCATCGGTTGAATCATAAAAAGAAGGGTGATCAGCAACTCCAGTAGGAATAGATCATTTTCCATATAACATTTGTTTCTCCAACTCCTCATAATTAAGTTCACTGACCTCCTCTTCATCGTCAACTATCCAACCTTCAGTTTTGTCGATACTTTCATAATCAATAGGATCCAAACTTATTCTCTTGTAACACTTGCTAAAATGCCATAATGAAATATTAAAAGCATGACAACTAAAATATCAAAAAAATAATAGATAATAACAATAAGAGTAATGCATAATTGAATAATTGACAATGTTTTATACCTGTTTTGCAAACGCAAGTTATAGAGAACAAAAATAAGATCATTTAACCTTTGATGCTTCAATCTATTCCTCTTTTTAGTATGTATGCGCTCAAAAACACTCCAATTTCGTTCACATCCCGAAGAGCTGGAAGTTTGGCTAAGAATTTTTATTGCAAACTTTTGCAAATTTGGAGTACTATACCCAAATGATTTTCACCATTCATCTAATGGAAAATTAAACATAATAAATAAATTAGACTTAAAAAACAAAAGAACTCATAAATTTTATAACTATTACGTACCAGGACGTGTGGTTTTGGCGGTTTCAAGAGTAAGCCCGCGAGAAAAGCTTTCCTCCCGATTTGAATATAATCTACTCTCTTCTACTAATCTTGTCTTGTTCAAATTGAAAGCATTTGCTTTACTGTCAATAGTATCAAGGAAACCACTCATGACTTCTAGCTTGAGGCAAAAAGATTATTCGTCATATTTAAAGGCAGGATTCAAATAATAAGCCGCAACATGGATATCATGACGCAACGTCCTATTCCAGTGTAGCTTAATGATTCGTGTATAAGGTTTGTACAATCTCTTTTTATTCTTAAACAACTTCTTAATTGCATTTTTCATCCTGTACATGTAATCATACATATATCTTATTGCTGACTTCTCATCTGAGTCAACAAATCCGCAACAAGCGCATCAATGGACTCACAACTTTGGATATCTTACCCATATCATCCCAAAAATTGTTATCTAGAATTATGTCAATAACATATTTGCCTTTATTACTTTTTGCATATCGAGAATCGATAAATGACCTATCTATCACCATAGCTTGCAAGTCATGTTTGTGTTCATGAATGCTTCTCATTGCAATGAAAGTTGTAGCAAAACGGGTTGCACTCGGACGAACAATTTATTTCCAACCCTGTTCAATTGATAAATAATTGATGTTAGTCAATTATAAAAAATGTATACTATGTTATGACTTGACAAGAACATGAGCTAAAGGTATATTTCCTGTCTTTTTCTCAACCAAGTTATCAAAAATGTATGATTATATATAAACTTCGTCACCTTAGAAGCACGTCTCGTAAGATAAACTATGTGATCTGTCTTAGCTATGTCTTTTAACACAAAATTTATGCAATGTGCTACACAGGGTGACCAAGTAATACTCGGATATTTGTCAGACAACATTCTTCCAATCCTAGTTAGTAAATACGGGTACGGCAAAAAAAGGGTACGGGAATTTTACGGGTATAATACGGCAAACGGTAAAAAATACGTTTATAAAAATTCGGCCATAAAATTCGGATATGGGAAAAATACGGTACGGGTATATACGGGTTTAATACGGTGCATTATCAATAATACGTTTTGAAAAATACGGCAATATCAATCTTAGTTTTAACACTTTTATGGACTACCTGGTTAAAATCAACATAACATTTCAAATGCAAAGTATTCAATTAACCAATAACACAAATACACAATACATAACTGATATTTAAATTATAGTCTCCAGACTCAAACACAATATTTAGCCAAGATTCAACTATAGTGTCAAATTAAACACATAAGTCATAACAAAATCAAAATTTAAAGTCGAATAAAAGCTCCAAACAAATAAAATACACAAATAATACAACAAAGATTCAAATTATACTTTGTAACAAAAACTCACAAAGTACATAAACAACAATAAGTCAATAACAACTCAAAAAAGAGTATTGTCCAACCAAGCAATGTCATCATTATCCATTAAGTCATCCATGGAACCCTCAACTGTTGGTGTGGAATTAGCATCTTCGTGCATATGAATTTCTTCATATTCATAGTTTGGAAGCTCTCCCAATTTCTCAAGATCTATAGGTTCCAAGTCACGACTCATCGTGGAAGTGAATTTATCCATCATCATCGTGTTCATCCTCACATACACAAGTGTGTCTAGCATTTCATGTGACAACCTATTCCTTTTTTTTGTTTGAGCANACGGCAATATCAATCTTAGTTTTAACACTTTTATGGACTACCTGGTTAAAATCAACATAACATTTCAGATGCAAAGTATTCAATTAACCAATAACACAAATACACAATACATAACTGATATTCAAATTATAATCTCCAGACTCAAACACAATATTTAGTCAAGATTCAACTATAGTGTCAAATTAAACACATAAGTCATAACAAAATCAAAATTCAAAGTTGAATAAGAGCTCTAAACAAATAAAATACACAAATAATACAACAAAGATTCAAATTATAGTTTGTAACAAAAACTCACAAATAAATAACAATAAGTCAATAACAACTCAAAAAGAGCATAGTCCAACCAAGCAATGTCATCATTATTCATTAAGTCATCCATGTAACCCTCAACTGTTGGTGTGGAATTAGCATCTTCGTCCATATGAATTTCTTCATATTCATAGTCTGGAAGCTCTCCCAATTTCTCAAGATCTATAGGTTCCAAGTCACGACTCATCGTGGAACTGAATTTATCCATCATCATCATGTTCATCCTCACATACACAAGTGTGTCTAGCATTTCATGTGACAACCTATTCCTTTTTTTTGTTTGAGCAGCTTCAAAGGCACTCCAATTTCTCTCACATGATGAAGCGCTACAAGGTTGACTCAGAATTTGAATGGCATACTTCTTGAGCACAGGAAGATCATCCCCATTGTAATCCCACTATATTCTTTCAAATGATATAAAAATCTTTCTTGAATATAAAGAGAGAAGCAATGTATAGAAAAGATATTGAAATTTTTTAAAACACTTACGAGGATGACTTGTTTGTAACATTGTTTTTGCCGTTGCAGTAAATAAGGTAGCTGGCCTACTACAATACAACTGAACCTCTCTCATAAATGAGATGCTTTTATTCTATTAGAAGCAGGTTTTCATGAATGAAATTGATGCCATCTTTCATCTCCCTATCCTCTCTAAAATTTTGTGAGCAAAAGTAAGCTGGATTGAGAAAGGTAGCTGCAGCATGTATAGGATGAATGATGTTGTTGACCCGACGATTCTCAAACAATTCCCAAATTCTCCCATACTTGCTTGCCTCACTATTACATCTTTCTTTGGTTGCAACTTTTGCCCTCGTCATTGCTTCGTATAAGTAACCAACAGTAGATCCATCACCATCAACCAAACGAAGAACTTGAACCAATGGCTCAATAGTTTTTATAACCTCCCTTCCTCTAGCCCAAAAATCACTCTAAACAATTTCAGTGACCCTTTTACCTGATTCGGTCTTACAATAATCAAAACCCCTCAATTCAGATGAAGCAACAAAGAGTCGAATTTCATTCTCCAAATCCAACACAGATTGAAGCATTAAAAAATTTGAAGCAAATCTTGTGGCATAAGGTTGTCTCAATTGTCTATCTTTGGTGAACTCTTTCATTGCTACATGAAGAACTGTGTACCGTGTCATGAACATAACTATTATTCTTGCTTCATCTGTGGCAACTTTTACCCAATTAACTTCTTCATATATGTCTTTCAAAAGAAGCTGAATTCCATGAGCAGCACACCTCGTCTTATACATTCGAGGATACAATCCAATGAGCATGTCACCAGCAGATGTGAAATTGCTACCATTATCAGTTATGAATTGCACAACATGTTCTTGTCCAATTGATTCAATCACAGAAACAAAAATTTCTTTCAGATAAATCCCAGTTTTTCTTTCTCGAGAAACATCTAATGATTTTATAAACACTGCACCGCCAGGTGAATATGCCACAAGATTAATGAAAGATCGGTGCCTTATATCAGTCCATATATCAGACATTATAGTGCAACCAGATCCAGATGTATCCCAAGAATGCTTCACCATAGCAACATACTCATCAACACCTTTTCTAGATTCTGGAATTAACTTAGTTCGAAGAGTTGAATAAGATGGAAGCTTGTATGCTGCACCATATTCAGCCATTGCCTTGACAAATTCTCCAAAAGCACCAGTTTGAACAACATTAAAAGCAATATTGTTCACCATAAAACACTTAGCAAGCATTTTATCAACAAACTCCTTATCTTTTTTCTTATTCATTTCTAGTAAAGATGCTTGACTTTGACATCTTTGGCTACCCTTAGAAAGTGGTGAAAATGGTGAATCTGTTTCCTCCTGATGATCATTAGAGTTTAAAGCAGTAGAAGAACCGGCTGAACTTTTTAATTTTTTGTTACTTCCACTTCCAGACATAGCTAAGAACGCGCATGCTTGTGTCTCATGATTGACTTTACTACAAATCTCAACATCATGGCCAGTAATTCCCGACAAGTGTGCTTTAATTCTGTAAGCCCCACCACTAAATACTTTTTGACAAAATTTCCATTTCCATTTATTCCCTTGGAGCTCCTCAACATGCTCCCAAATTTTATCTTTTTTTTCGTACCATATTGATTTGAGTCTGTATTTACAAGAACATAAAAGAGAACATCATCAAATACAAAAGGAAAAAAGTTAGCTTATAATCTTTTTTCTTTCCTACGCATTATAGCATGTAATCTTTTTATTTCCTACGCATTGTATTTAGAATAATCAGCTTTAATTTAGAAATTAGAATCAACTTTCAATATATCATTATTCATAATAATTCGCAATAAAAGAATATTACATTTTCCACAAAAGTATGATTTGTCACACGTATACATGAATTTAGTTAAGATTATTATCAATTAATCTGCCATGCAATCCATAGATTTGAGGCCTTGAGTCAAAGAGGAAACGTACAATTATTTGTCAGTTGCAGANCTTTAATTTAGAAATTAGAATCAACTTTCAATATATCATTATTCAGAATAATTCGCAATAAAAGACTATTACATTTTCCACAAAAGTATGATTTGGTTCATGCGCATAAGAGACAAAAAATAAGTAAAAAAATACAGCTATATCCACAATATCTTTCTCATCTAAATAATTCAGTGGGTCGATCTCACTCTTAACATCATGAATCAGCAATTTTTCAACATAAGAATCTAGCTGGATTCGAGAAGTATAGTGCATATTAATTCTATTTTTTCATTATGATAAACGTGCCGGCCATCAAGATCAATCTGGACTGTTTTTCAAAACAAGGCGCATAAAAATTTCAACTTCTAGTGACCTTAGCTCTATCCCCACACTACAAATTAATGAGCATTATCTGATCATACAGCTTGTGATGGTTGCAATTATTTCTCCTAATGCAATATTCACCAGCTAGCCATTCATCTATCAAGTGATAGAAATTCATGGGAAAGATAAGGATGCTGTTATGAGTGAATGAAAATCACAAAGTGCTAAGCAATTTTTTCCTCTCACGTGCATGAACAAAACAAAATAGTCCCCTTTCACATAAATAAAGTTGCTTAATTGATTTCCCAAGTCTTCTTGATTTTTAATGGATTTTTACAAATAAGGCAGATGAGGCAATCAAAGAAAAAAATGAGAGGGGCAAGGGTTTATGTAATCGACAGTGTCTACATACACATGAATAATACAGAGGGTTTGTGCAGTACTCTACCATCTTTATGTTAAACAACGTATGCACGTTCAGTATTCAATGTATCTTTCTCAAGAAGTTTTAAGTAAATTATTAGGTTAAAGCCAACATAATCATAATCATATGAAATCAAAAGAGGAAACGTACAATTATTTGTCAGGTGTAGAGGGAGATCAATCTTTAATCTATAAGGTTCTGGACGAAAATTAGTGATAAAATAAACAATCTTCTGGACAGTGTCTGTATCAAAATTTTCAGATTAACAGCAAAATTTTGCAGTAGTATACTAGTATCAGAAATGTTAATAAGGTAAAAGTATGATTCAGTTGTCGTACAACCATCTAATCATCTTAATTTCTCTACTTTGAATAATTATGAGGCAGACCCCACTCGATGTTTGGTACTAATATATTCTTGCTTTTCCAGCCATATATCCAGTTATGCACTACATGAATGTTTGAAACCCAACACACTTCAATATTCCTATATATTATTATTACTGAAAAATAAAAACTAAAATTTTGATTCTTCTATTCTCTCAAAACAAGGCTGCGAAAATGAAATCAATAAACAATGTGAAACTCAATAAAATGCACAAGGAAAAATACCCAATAATCTTTCGAAGATCCCCAACAAAGGAATCACTCAAATAGTGCAGAATTCATGACAAAAACCAATACGCAGAAACAAACCTCTCACAACTGGTTACTTACAAACAGAGCAAAACAGAGAAGACAAAATCCCAAAGACTTGTATTTATGAATTCAGAATCATGCAAAGAAACCTAACGCTAACATTCCAAAACCATCATTATTTCCAACAAGCAAGTAGTGGAAACAGTAAGAATATGCAGGATTATAAGCAAATCATCAAACGGCAAAACATATCATACCAGAAATACAATACCCAAAAAAAGGTTAACTACCCAGTAAAGGAAACAATCCAAATAGAAAAAGTTCAGTCAGAAAATAACAGAAATATCAAACACCAATACTCCTCAACAAGAAGAACCATGTTTCAAACAAATCCAGCAATCCATTACCATAACAAATCCATCAATCCACCAAAGAGAAGAGAACAAGTGTTAAGTGTGTACCTTGAAGTCCCAAACTTGAAGTTGAAGCTTGGAAAGAGAACAAGAGATGAAGAAAAGCTGAAAACGTGAAGATTTGAGGAATGAAGAAGAACTGAAGAGTGAAGACTGAGATCTGCTTTAATTTTTAGTGAAAAACCCACGAAACGACGTCGTTTTGGGGGTGAACTTTTTTTTTTTTTTTTTCAATAATTCGCGAATTGTACGAGAGCGCTTAAAATACTCGTATAATTCGACAGATTTTGTAAAATTCGTATACGTGCGTTTTATACGCGAATTATACAGCTGTCCGTACAATTCGCGTATAATACGCGTTTTTACTAACTAGGCTTCCAATAGCTTTATAATTGGATCCATTGTCTGAGACAAAATGGACAATACTATTTGGTCCAATCCATAAAGCTACCTCCTCAAACATCTTCAACAATGTCCCAGTATCCTTTACAACATCTGAAGCATTAACTGATTTCACAAAACAAACTCCCTTAGGATAATACACCATAAAATTGATCAATGACCTATGTGAATTATCAGTCCAACCATCAGCCATTAAGGTACATCCAACATTTTCTCAAATCTTTCTGTAACTATCAACAAGAAGTTACACTTCCTTCTTAGCATCTCTTAACAAATTGGCATGCAAAGCATGATAATTTGGGTGTTTATACCCAGATCCAATTGCAGCTATAGCATCCACCAAAGGCTGAAGATAAATTGAATTTATAGCATTAATTGGGATGCAAGCATCATAAAAGAATCTTCCAAAAGCGATGTCTGCTCTTCACATCGCATCTTTTCCAGCTAAACAACTCCTAATTGATGGTTGAGATCCACCAATTGTCCTTGGAGCGAAATAGTCACTAACCCCAATAGATTTATTTCTTTTTGATTTGTCTAGCATTGTACTTTGTTTTTTACTGTCAAACCTACCTTCATTTATGTGAATTCCTGATGGACGAAACTCTTCACTATCTTCATTGAACATATCTCCCTCAAATCCATGTACGGGAGCACCGTAAGGAGTATTATACTTACTAGAATCAGCCTTCTCTTTATTCTTTATCCCAATGTCTTTTAGTGATTCTCTCATTGAGTATTGAACATCAAAAGGAACTTTTAAACAAGCACCAACATCCCCCTTTGTTCCAGCTAGATGTTGTTTCATTCTAAAAATACCTCCTCCTCTAGTTACTTTCCCACAGTGAAGACATCTTAATGTCTTCCTTCCATTTGGATCTACACCTTCAATAACATGTGCTCATGTTATATCAGTCCTACCTCTACTAGATTGTGAAGAAGACCCAGTGCTATATGTTGTCATTGTCTATTTTTAATCTTTATCTACCTATCACACAATAAAATTGCAAACAAAAGAATCGCATTAACTTAGGTGTTACCTCTTTTGGTTCTTATACAGAATCTATAACCTCATTTACTCTTTTGATAGAATAATATGTTTTCTTTGTTTCCTTGGGAAAAAAAAAAAAAAAAAAAAACGTCAACCCATGAGGGTTCCAACATACACGGCTACAAATTTAAAAGGAAAAATCAGAAAACATAAATCTTTAGAATCCTATGCATAATCCAACACTAAGCAAGTTATAATAAGAGTGATGAACCATACTAATGAATGTGCAAATTCTTTCTAGAATCTTCTATCAATGTAATTTTCTATGAAAGAATAATGTAATATTGATGCTTAACCTAATGAAATAATAGATTTACCAAGCAAATATCAAATACGAAACTCTATAGACAGAATAAAATACATAAATCATACAAAAACACAGAACACCAATTGCCAATCAAAGCAGTTAAGTATCCATAGGCAAAATTTGTAATCCAAAAAGGTAAAGGTCAAACAACAAAACTCATAATGAACAAACCAGTTGACAGTTTTAAAAGTACTTTATGACTTAACTGGTATCACCCTATAAGCAAGCTTATTCCATTTTAGCTGTTCAAGATGGATACAGTTGGGAGTGAATGCTTTACTTTCTACATCATAAATTAATTTCAAATATTCAATTAACAACTAAATGCAACCCCAACATTATGAAATCAGTCTCATATTTAACAATATATAAATTATAATAATAATTAAAAAAAACAATTAAGCCCTATAATGGCACCTAACTAAGCGGAAGTTGAGCGTTGACTTAATCAGAAAGCTAAAAATCAATCTTAAACACTAATACCACAAATTAACAATCATACTTTACAAAAAGAGAAAAACAAAAACAATTAGACTATACATAATATATGCATCAGCAAAACCAATGGTCATTCTTAGTTCTACAATCAAACAATGAAAACACAAACAAACCCTAGTAGTCTTGCATGCTTTACTAGAAGGATGAAATAAAAACCACAGAGCAATATACATATATAGTGACATCCCTACAAATATAACGCAAAATGCCACTTGAATGTGTTAAAATAAATATTCCAGATATCAGTTGACAAATAATGCTACACTCATTTGATACCACATTATGTACTAATCATCAGAGGCATATATGATGCATAAAAATCAAAAGGATGAAGTACACGGTCCATAGACTGTTCGTTTGTTCACAGATCCTATATAGGACCTCCTGAATATTTGTAGGATGACATTGCTATAAAAATGAAAATGAAAATGAAATTATTGATTATTGAAGCTGGATCGAAGAATGGCGTGTTTATTACCTGGATCGAAGAATGGAGCTGTCGTCAACGAATGGAGCTGTCGCCGTCGATTTCCAGCGAGGAACGGAGCTATTGTCGTCGATTTCTGGTGAGGGAGGAAACGTCGTCGTCGATTTCAGAGAGTTCAGATGCGATTTGGGTGGGATTTCAGAAACAAATCTTCACAGAGAACAAACAACAATGACGAAGCTAAAAAATTTTTGCAGAGAAGAGAGAAAAAGCTGAGAAATTTGCGTAAGAAACTGAGAAAGAGATGAACTGAACGTGATGAGAAGAAGGCTGCGTGTATTAGGTTTAGGGATTTTGGTTTATCAGTCGGTCCGGTTGGATAGGCTGTTCGCTAAAAATATCCTGTTTTTTAACTATTTAACGCGGTCTATTGCATTTTAATAGTTTTAGGATTGACCCAAATCGGACACGTGACTGGTTCCCGGTCCAACTGGTTGGACCGGCCGGTCCGGTTCGGCTTTTAAAATAATGCAAGACAGCAAACTTTTACAAAATCAAATACAACCAAAGTTATAAGTACCAGAAATAATTCAAATCAAATTATTTAATGAACTATAAACTCGAGAAAATCTCAAATTCAGCCATAGAAAGTTCAAAACTCAATGCAAGACGAACATACCCAATAGTCTAACCATTTCATCCGTAAACAAAACCACAAAATCTATGAAAGTAAATTCAAAAAACCTAAAATTTAAACAAACCCATTTCTCTAACACAATATTACACACACAAAAAGGTCAACTTGACCACAGAATTGAGCAAAATCCAGACACCCCCTACCAAATATAACAATAATAGGTATTATTTGAGCCCTTCAAGCAATTTCTAAGCCATCTTCAAATAAATTCTAAATCAAAAAAATTGATTTTAAAAAAGATCTTAATTCATTCAAACTTTGTGTTTTTTTTTTTTTCATATTTTATTTTATTTATACATTCAATTATTTCGTGAGAGCCATAGAAAGATTTTGTTCACTACTTGTTCATGTAATTTTTCTTTCCTTATATTACCTTTACATCACTTCATTGCACAAATACTCTCTTCAGATTAGCTTTTAAACACTCATTCTCAAAATATTTTCGTCTTTATTATTATTNGTAAACAAAACCACAAAATCTATGAAAGTAAATTCAAAAAACCTAAAATTTAAACAAACCCATTTCTCTAACACAATATTACACACACAAAAAGGTCAACTTGACCACAGAATTGAGCAAAATCCAGACACCCCCTACCAAATATAACAATAATAGGTATTATTTGAGCCCTTCAAGCAATTTCTAAGCCATCTTCAAATAAATTCTAAATCAAAAAAAAAAAAAAAAAAAAAACCCTCATTTCTATCATCCTTTGTGTTTTTTTTTTTTTCATATTTTATTTTATTTATACATTCAATTATTTCGTGAGAGCCATAGAAAGATTTTGTTCACTACTTGTTCATGTAATTTTTCTTTCCTTATATTACCTTTACATCACTTCATTGCACAAATACTCTCTTCAGATTAGCTTTTAAACACTCATTCTCAAAATATTTTCGTCTTTATTATTATTTATTATATTAATTTCTTATGAAAACTCATCAAAACTGTTAAATATGTACCATGTTATAGACCATTTTCAGGTGCAGCTATGATGGCGCTTGAGGTTGGTGATGATGGTTGCGCAGACACCGACTTGCACACGTTGTGGTGGTGCACCGTAAACTTCTGACGAGAGACTGTTTAAGGTTGGAATTAGAGACAAACAAGTTTGGGATGGCCGCTGGATACCGTGGGGACACCGACTTGCACACGTTGTGGTGGTGCACCGTAATCTTCTAACGAACGACGGTTTAACATTAGAATTAGAGAGGCAAACCGGTTTGGGATGGCTACTAGACGCCGTGGGAATGGGTTGTGATCGGAGATTGAGCTACTTGGGTTTTCAAAATTGAGAGGATTTTTTGGGAGAAAGTTTTACAGGGTTTCATTTAAGAAAATTAAGGTTTGAAATTTTGGGTTTTTCGCATAACTTTTTTTTTTTTTTTTCTAATTTGAAAGTGATGTGGTATCCTAATGACGTGGCAGCTGAGGTGGCATAAGTCACTAAAGATGAGAAGTTATGAAGTAAAAGAATGGTGTAAAGTAATATTGTAATATAAAGTTAGCATTACTCAATGAGTACAGTAATTTAGTCAATCCTAGGTTTACACCACCTTCTCACATCATTCTCTCACATCAAGACAGGGCAGTTGCCTCATCAACAAAATGCCACGTCATTTTCCCAAATTCAAAAAAACCCAAACTTTCAGTTTTCAATTTACCTAAAACAAACCCCAAATCGAATACAGTTTCCCCAAAATACAAACCCTAAAATCTCTCCCCAAATTTCCTTTCAAGATTAGCAAAGATTCTTTCCGAAGCCCACTATCATTTCCTTCTCTTCGTTTCCTCCAATTGCGTCCCCAACGAGCGCCGTACTTGCAACGTGATTATTTCCCGCTTGCTGGGTTCCAAAATGTCGCAAAAGATTTTGAAGGTTAGGGGTTGTTTGTATGATTTTAAGCTCGAGTGTGTGCCTTCTTTGGGGAATTAGAATGTTTAACCATTAATGAAGAAGTTAAGGATTCAATGAAGAAAAGAAATCAATGTCAACATGAACTTTGGCACAGTAGCCAAAGGCTTTAGCTCTTGTAGCTTTATCAATCTGAAAGGAAATTCCAATACCTTGAGATGACGACTTTAATTATATTAAAGTTTTTCCCTTTTCCTTGCGTAAATTTTTGGTCAAAGTTTTTTGTTTTTTAAGTGAAAATAATTGATTTTTGATATGTGGGTATGTAGAATGGAAGTTTAAGGTTTCTTTTCTTCACAGTGATGCACGGGTTCAAACTTTTTCAGCCTGCCCAAAACCTATTACCTGGCATTAAGAGTAACTTTCCTCTTTGTGTAGTGTAACCATAACTCATCTCTCTGGCGTTATCCTTGTGGCATCTCTCAACTTATCCAAATTCCATTTATTTTCATAGGTTATTATTTTTTAAAGTTGAAGTTGTTTATCCTTTTGTTAGTGATTTAAATGTTTTTCAAATTTTTTCTTTAAGTTGGAACTTTTTGAATGGTGTTTATTTGTTGAACTTGGCTGAATATTTTATCTTGAACTTGGAACTTTTTGAATGGTGTTAATATGTATGTCTTTCCCATTTTTGGCTCCTTGTGTATGGTCAGTGAAATCTATGAGTATTTGATAGGAACCCACTCCAATAACTCAACAATTTGGGTTGGACCATGTGTCTTTCATGGGCTTGGGTAGAACATTCCTTGGAAAACCGGCTTGCCAAGGGAGGGTGCCCAAGCCTTTATAACCCACATGCCCACACTTTTCCCTTTCAATGTGGGATCCTAACATTCCATTACGCTTCCGTAAGCGACGTCCACGTCGGCCTCTTTACCCTCGTTGGCCTCTTTACCCCTTGGGTGACTACGT